GTGTGTGTGTGTGTGTGTGTGTGTGTGTGTGTGTGTGTGTGTGTGTGTGTGTGTCCAGTTTTAGGCAGCTATGGGTGGGCTGGGGAACGGTCGCCGAGGAGTAAGATCCCCACCTTTGATGATTGCAGCTCTAATTGCCTGCATCTTAGTTCTGGGTTTTAACTACTGGGTGTCCAGTTCCCGCAACCTGGAGCTACAGGTAGGCTAACTTAAAACTGCCAATGCTTTTGATGTTTTGAACTGTAGTGAATAATGCTTTAAAATAAATGTGTTTTAATCAAAACATTTGTCAAGCACTTTAGAAATAACTTCTGGTTCTGCAGTGATAGCTTGTTGCTTTCAGAATTCACCAAAAGCTGCTGTGTCTTAATGCTGACGTGCAGCACTAATGAGYTAGAAATGTGTTGTCACTCATCACACACGATAAGCCATCAAGTGAACTTAAGTATTTTCAGGGCTTTGCTTAGTAATGTGCATTTCGTTTTGTAGCTTCAACAGCATGTTTCTTAATCAGATAGCTTGTTGTTTATGTTCAAGTTCCTGTTTCACAGTAAGAGGATGAAGTAAAACCTACTCCGACAAACAGCTTTTATAATTAATGTGCCTGGGTCATTGGGAAACAATAATGCATTTTGTTTCACAGTGTTGTCCAAATGCAGGGAAAAGTATTCTGATGTTTCTGCTGCAAACAATAAACAWGAAACGCTCGTAAAACAAAACTGTAGCAAAATGTTGGCTAAATCTGCCTCTGTAATCCTGAAGCATCTGCCTGCAGTTTAACAAATTCAAGAATTACAAACATTACTCTGCCTTTATCACTAATGGTATGATATTGTCTGTTTTATCTTTTACAGCATAGTTTGTTTCATTCTTTCATTGTATGTCTTATTATGATTGAATGCCTCTGTGAAGAACTTAAAATGTCCTCATGTCTAAATGATGCATTGATAGACTTCAGACTGTTGTGGCAGAAAAGATAAGGGGGACAAAATAAGCAAAGTTTGTTGATTTGGAATAATTTTTCACAAAAAATAAAATAAATAAATGTCAAGCAGAAAACCTCAGAAATTGCACAGCTCCAAGCAGCAGAATAGTTCTTAACCAAGATTTTGAGGCATGTTTTTTTTTAAACAAAGCACATCAGCAAAAGAAAAATAAGACATATAGTCTCACCTGAAGGCTGTATCACCTGGAGGTCAGCATGACTGAACATCAAACTAAACAGATATATTCTACATGAAAATAGGGCTGCCACAAACGATTACTTTTATAGTCAACTAATCACTGATTATTTTTTTCGATAAAACGACTAATCGGATCATACGTTAATTGAGTATAAAACATACAGCTTATBRYGCCAGAATGCAGCTGCTATTATATAACCATCGTTAGATTGTAGCTAAAAAAAAAAAAAACCAAAATTGTCGATTAGTCGTCGACTTATCAGCCCTACATGACAAATTCTGTGACCTCCTGATGAGGACATATCAGAATACCTATTAACAAATGTTTTTTTAGCCGAAGGACTGATAACATTTGATAACATGATAACATTTGGATGGCTGTGGGAATAAGAAGCATTAAAAATTGCTTCAAAAGCACAAACTGTGCCTTTTTTTTGTCAGTGTAAACTGTATATCTGATAGTGAAATGTTTGTAATCACCTGTGCCCTCTTAGGTTAAAATAAGAAATGAGTACAAATGGATGGCTTGAAAGTGTTGCATGACTTGTTTTAATTTTAACCCCTTTATCATCATGTGTGTGTGTGTGTGTGTGTCTCAGACCAAGCTGTATGAGCTGGAGGGCCGAGTTCAACGTGGGGCAGCGGAGAGAGAGATGAAGAAGAGTGAGTTCCAGGAGGTCCAGAAACAGAAGGATGAGATCCAGAAACAGAAGGATGAGATCCAGAAAGAGAAGGCGCAGATCGAAAGCTTTTACAAGACACAAATGGATGGAGCGCAGGTCACATGCAGCCAGGATAAGGTGAACACTAATACATTTTGCTCTGTAAAGGATGGCAGTCAAAGCTACATAACTTTTGGAGTTTTAWATGTCTTAAATGGGTCAATTGAAACCTATATTTTGATGCAAAACTGAAAGCAAAGTCAAAATTCATTCTATTCTATTTTATTTTATTTATAAAATAAATTATTTATTTTTTAGGCCAAACTGCAGCAGAATGTTTCTTCAAGCACCAAAACAATCCAGGATCTCAAAGGTTAAATTTAATCTCTACTTCCCAAAAGTTGAATTGTCCAGAACTGTGTTGGGAAAAAAGTACTTTTATCTTTTTATTTTTATTTTTATTGATTTATGTGCACATCTGTGTTGCAGGTCATCTGAATCAGCTGAATGATGACTTGGGAAAGCTTCAGAAAGAGCTTCAGAGTTGCCAAGGCAACATAAACAGCCTCAACAAGAAGCTAATGTATGACATGTAAGAARTTTTTTTTATTATTGTTTACACATTTGCATAATGTAGGTATGATAAATGTTTATTCTATTTAAATTACTTATAGCTTGGATCAACATGGGTTTTTGTCACTATAAAGTAACGTGTTGTCTTAAATGCTTTAAAATAAATGTGTTTTAAATGAAAGTGAACATCAGTTTGCAGTCAAATATCGTTTATTGTAAAAAAAAAAGACTTCTAGTGATATAATAATCATTATTTTTGTCTGTTTTTGTTAAAATACATCTCTTTCTCTGTGCTCTTTTGCAGGACCCAGTGTGAGTCTAAGATCCAGACAGAGAAGGAGCTGTGTGACGAGAAGATGTCTGCTGCCAAACTTGAAGTTCAGAAGAAAACGGAGAAACTCAGCCCTCTCCCAGATGCCCCCTCACAGGTGAAATGGTTCTCCTGTTTGATAATAAAATCTTTCCTTATGTGTGGGATCAGGGCAGAGAGAGGGAGGATCAAATATTCCATTCTTCTATCAGCTCTGCACTCTAAATCCAGAATAATTGTGGTTTTCTGTGATTTCAGCTTGTAGAGTTTCTCACACACTTATTCAAAACGTATTTTTGTTGATGTKAAGTTCTTCTTWACCCCYAGCAGAAAAACACTGGAAAGGAAATGGTTAAAGAAGGGACAACAGTCAACTCTGAGCCTAGTGGAAATCCAACAGCTGTTGTAAACCACACGTCAAGCAGCCCTCAGCCTAAAGGAAATAAAAACCCTGATTCACTCACTAATGACATCATCATTGACCAAGGTGGGAACAAAAATCAAGGAGCGTTTTGGTTTTTTTAACAGAATGGTTTAACCTAAACAAATGCAGTTCAAGTGTTTTGTTTCCATGTGCTGGTGAAAATAAATTTAACTATTAGCATGCCTCATTTGTCATTAAACCTGCTTCATTTGTTTTYAGATTCTGGAGTTTTCGGACGGTCTCCAACAAAGGATCTATCTAAAGCAGAGACCCAGTCTGTCTCTGAAGCTGCTTCACTGAAGCAGAACAAACTGCAGCTCGACCAGGAAGACGTCAGAACAGACGAGACTGAGATAAAGACCAACAAAGATGTGAAGAAAAACCTGAATGAGATTAAAGGCGTGGAGGTGATGGAAGCTCGTGAAGAGGGAGCTCAGAGAAAAGGTAAATAACAGGTTCTCTGGCAGACATTTTTTTCTCTGCATAATACTAAAAAAACAAGTTTTGTGCCATGACTGAACGGGTGGCATTTGAGTGACGTAAACAATATAGAGTGTTTCTTTATTTGGTGTACACAGTTACTAGCTTGTACTGGGTCTGATTAAAAAAAATCCAGAATATGTATTGAACAAATTGACTGCTGTAGAGATTATGTTCAACTTTACTGAAAGTTAAAACAGCACTTCCTTCTTCTAGAAGCCGACCCTGGCATGGAGGATATGCTGATTGATCAAGGGAACCCTGATGAGCCAGCTGTAGGTCAGAAACTGGAGGATCAGGAGGAGTATGATGCAGATGAGCAGGTGGTGGGCGGAGTGGATGTGGAGAGGGGTAAACAAGCTGAAAATATAGGTTTGTGATGATTTACAGAAAGAGACCTATATAATAGTCTGGATTCAATTCCGATGTGTTGAAGGTTTACTGGCTTGTTTGAAAGATGGGATTTAAATATGTAATGCTTTCATGTCTGGTAGACAAGGACATGGAGGAGGAGCTGGCTGACTACAATGGTGATGATGAAAATGAAGGAGAGTTTGAAGCAGACAAACAAGAAGCTCTTGCTCAAATCTAAGGTACATGTTGAAACTCATCAATTCATTTCTGAGCGGGATTCAGCTGCTGTCTGTCTGGTCATTATTATGCAATAATCCTAACACGACATCTGTAAACAGCTGACAGAGCAGAAGACGTATCCTTAACGCTGCAGCGGTTTTTCCTTTTGAACAATCAGAACATTTTACTGAGTTCAATCTGTTTTTTTTTTTTCAGAGACAGTTGATTGACGCTACACATCACATCAGAGAAGAAAAGCTGCAACACAGCAAGAAAACACCGACAACTAAACGGTTTTACATGGAGTTTTCTAAATAATTTGGAACTATTCTCTCCTTTTACAAAAAAAAGTCTATCATTTGTCATTTTCTTCGTCGCCGAAGTTCATTTCTCTCAGAGGATTGCAAACATGACAAACTAAATTTCAAGTTTTTTCACCATTTGATTTAAAAAAAATAAAATAAAATGCCTCATCAAAATTAGAAGAATTTGACGAGGTGTTGACACGCGTTATGTTCACTCAGTAACAGCCAAGGTGGGTGCAGACCCTTGTTGGGTTGCAGGCTGCAGAGCACAGACCAGTTTAAAAGATCTGAGCGGTTGCTGTGACAGAAGTCTGCCAGCAGGGGGCTCTGCAGCTCAGGTTTTAGCTCTGAGACTCAGCAGCTTCAATAAAGCCTCAGTGTCTCTGATAAAGTACATAATTTGTCTGAATGACTGCAGGAAATGACAAAGGCTGTACATTATCCGGTTTGTAAAAAAATAAAAATAAAAAAGCCAAAAACAGTCCGGTTGAACTAATGAATGTTTCACAAAAATAAGGGGGAAAAAATCATTTCGTCTTTTGCTGCATCATTTACCAAGACCAACTATTTTCAGACTTTTTATTTGACAGCAAAGCCTTTTTCAAAGTGTCACAAGGTGGAATATTTGTAGCTTTTTATCTTTTTAAATATCAAAAAGCAAGAAAATGGTTAAAAAAAAAGAATAGCTGAAAAAGCTTAATCCTTAAATCTCACATGTTGCAGCTGCATGCTTTCTGTTCTGCCTAATTATTTTTCAACATTAAACACTCTTGGTAAAGTGGAGGATAAATAGGGATGTTCATGGAATTAAATAGTGCGTCTCTTCTCTGCGAAATTTAAATTGTAGCCAAAAAAAAAGAATTTCAGAGAATTCCTGAAAGGTAACGAGACATTTCTGCAAAGCATGAACATTGTGTTTTGTGGGTCCTTCAAGCCAGTAGATGTGAACATTTCAGCTGTAATGCTTAAATTATTTAGTGTTTTTCAACATAAAGTGACACTGAATTGAAAACTTTGGGTAAGTGCAAATATGATTGACGTTTAGTGAACTGAATGAACAAACAGTAAATTGTATGGGTGAGGTAATTTGTTGCCTTGTGGARTTTTTTGTTGCCTTTTACAGGACGAGATGTATTTTGTCTTCATCATTCTCTGTTGCAGAAGTTTGTCATTTATTTTCATTACGCTTTGATTATCATTAAACGTCCAGGCCAAGATTTCAAACTCTCATTGTGGGAAGTTAACATCATAACTTTCATTTGCTTATCCGAAAGCTTTCCATGCTGCAGTTTGTGACTGTTTTATTGTGATAAAAGTTTAGTGTTGATGTAACTGTCTAGTTGTAGAAGAAGAAAATATGGAATATGGAGTTTGTTGGACATTCGTGTCCTGAGGGAGGAACAAAATTATTTTTTTTGTTGTCATAATGTTCCCAGGCTYAATGCAAAACTTGACTACATTTGTAAAGTTTATTAGGAAGATTTTTCATTTTAGCTGTTTTGAACAGAGAACTTGTCCAACATTTCCATCAGAAGTTCTACTTATTTTTTGTCTTAAGTTGTAATAAAAAAACACCTTAATATTTTATTTTCTACATCTGAACCTGTATAGCTTGATTTAAAGTAACATCAAATATTGAAAAATGAGTCCTGCTGAAGGGTTAATATTTAAGTTGCAAATTCTGTATTAACATTTGTTGAATTGTTTTATGKTTGATTTGTGTCAGCTGAATGGCTCTCCTCATGAACAAAGACTCAGTTGTCTGCCTCTATGTGGTTTTTGTTTTTTATTTAAATGTTTTTGCATTTATATTTGTTTTTGTATTATTGTATGTCAAGATAAAACCTAGACAACCACCTGTTTGTACGGAAATTTGTTTTATTTCAAAATGCAAATGAGAGAAAAAAGGTTTTGATTCTTATTAATTTTATTTTGTTTGCTATATCTAATTTTACTTTGAATCAGCCTTTATTGACATGAGAGAATAAAGTCTTTAGATTTGTTTTTGTAAATTTCATTTATAAAATATGTGAAACATAAAATAAAACAAATTAACATGTACATCATGCCTRTCCTGTGACATGAAGAAGTTTGAATTACATCCCCAAGTTAAAATGCTAAAATGTTTGATAAGATTTCATAGAATTTAAAACAAAACTCATGGTCATCTGTTTTTGTTTTTTTTAGGTTTTATGTTTAGAAAAAAAATTGTCACAGTTTTCTCTGGGCTTTCCTGAAAACACATTTCTCTATATATTTTAACACAGAGGTAAAGAACTGTGTTCAGTTAAATAACATTTGTGGTTATAAAACATTTGCTTAATTATCTGTGATAAAACATTGCAACATCTTCAAAATGCGTCACTGGAAAGGGAACAATGAAATATTCTTTTATTTCCTGTAATGTGGGTTTGACTTGTCTTTAATGTGTTTTTTTTGCGCTATGGGCTCAGATGGAAGCAGGCCAACTAATTGTGCTCAGGGCATGGGTGTAACTGCCATATGCACGGGATGGGCCATGTCCCCCCACTTCTGTGCCCTGTCCCCCCCCAATATGTCCCCCCCCACACTTTTAAGATGGTGATTACGCCCTTGCTCAGGGTCCCTTACAAACTCTGCCAACTTTTTCTGCACATCATGTTGGTGTGCACACAGGAAAAAAATAAAATAAAATCTAAAAACAGTATCAAAACCATATAGATGATCGTTTTAATCTTTATGTTCTTACTAAATGTTTTGCAATTCTTTTAACTACTCGACTATTAACTGCTCACTTTTCATTTCTTAGAAAATTGCAAATGTGACAAAAAAAGACAAGAAAAAAAAAAGTTGAAACCTGACACCATTTGGCTTCAAAAATAGAATACCTAAACACGGCAGAAAATTACAAGATTTTGATGCTGTGTTGACACGTGCTATGTGCACTCGATAACAGCTGTGAACTGAGTTATGAGCAGGCCCTTGTTGGGTTTCAGGCTGTGAAATGCAAGATCTGAGAGACTACTGAGAGAGAAGTCGACCAGCAGGGAGCGCTGCAGCTCAGGTCTCCWCTCTGAAAGCTTTGTACCTACAGGACTGACTGTATAAATCAGTGATCCAGGATTTGCTACATATTAGTGAAACCAGGACACAAAAAGTTATCTGTTCCTTTATGTTTTCTGATGACAAATTCACGTTTTCAAAAAAAAGAAAAAAAAGCCACTGAGCTCAAGACATTAAAGTCATAAAGATAGGTTTCATATGATTTAATTTTGTGCACCTATTATCGAAAAAACTCACTACACGACTGATCTGAGGGTAACACACCCGCATAAACACAAACTTTCAGGTCCAGTCGAGTTGTCTGGTCACGATGTAGAACGCTAATCAAGTATGGACAGGGTTAAAATCTCTGCATACTTTTATTCATGTGAGGGAGACAGGAGGAGGAGGGAGGCATCAGATGATCTTCACAATAGGGAAATACTTGTGAGCTGAGAAGTCAAACTCTGGCAGCACCTGTGAATGCAAGAAAATACATTGAATTTGCAAATACATGAACCACTGCAGAAAAACAAGTGATCACAACACCAGGCGACTAATCCTCACTGCTTACAGAATATTTTCTTTTTAAATAAAAACAGTATTCTAGTCATTATTTATACTACAGGTAACCACTTGTCACACTCGTGCAGTTGATGTGTGTGTTGTGTCACCTTGGTTTCCTTCTTGTGACCTCCAGCCAGCAGCTTCGTAACTACAATGTTGGGTTTGGCCACCTTCAGTATGCGGTTCACCTGTAATTAATCAATACCTTGTTAGTGACCCAACAACCATAAAAAGTGTGCAGCAAAAAATATATATTGTGGAATTAAATATTGCAAACTTATTGCAATTGTCATCATTACAGCTGCATTTGTTAAAACAAAAGGATTTAAAAAAGTTAGAACGTTTATGGATCTTTAATACATTGTCCATCAGATGTTTAATGCATTGTTATTTAGTTTGCCTCTTTATTAATGTGCTTTATTTTGTTATAACTTCAAACAAGAACAAAATATACATATAAAATACTGAAATGTGTCGTAAGAGAAAGAAATGGTTTCCCTTCCTGACCTCGGGGTCGGGGCTGTGCATATTTTCTAGGATGAGCTTCGCCTGCTGGAAGTGTTTGCTAGCTGCCAGGTAGAGATCTGCAGAGCCGGGCGGAGGGTTGTACTTCTTCAGATCCGACATCTCCTGAAAGCGGTAAAAGAATAAAAAAAGTCAAGCGAGGGCAAGACGCGGGAATCGGGGAGGGTCTGACTGGGAGCAAACAGAACCTTGAACTGGATGTAGTGCACGGGTGGGGGGGTGACCACGCTGTTGAAGGGGGCGAAGCGATGCTCGTAGCGAACTTGTTCACTGTCGAGTTCAAACTGAGGCTTCCGCACCTTCCCGTCCATATCCAGAGCCACCATAGTCTGAGGTTAAAAGAAGATAAATTATGCCTTATACTTACGGGGGGTGTAAGAGGTCGTTAACATTTACAGACCTTGTACATGCCAGCACACATGTTCTGGTACGCCTGACTCATTGTGATCTCCTTGTTGAGAGGGCGAACTGAAAAATAACCTCAGATCGTGTGAGTTTCTGCCCGAAGGCCAGAGACATAAATAAGGACCTCACTTCCACTTAGATTTGTAGCATTTCAAACTGTGTTGAGATGTTAATCACAAATGCACCTTTCTTCTTCTTCTTGGTCTTTTTGCTGCTGCGTCCTTTCAGCTGCTCCTCCAAAATGCGCTCCTCTGCCATCTGAGAGGAGTCGGCTCTGCTTAGAGTTGACATCAGCCACGCATAAAGGAACTCTGACAAGTACCTGAAACAATAAAAACAGAAGGAGATTTATTCGTTTTYGATGCTTCTATCAAAACCAGCATGAAAAAACAACAACCAAAAAGTGATTTTATACCAGTAGATGTAATAGTATTCATGCATGCTGTAAAGTTCCAGTTCAAAACCACTCAAAAGATACTGGATCATGATCCTCAGATTATGGTAGAGGATCCAAGTGCCAAGACAGGCTAGATGCTGTCGCTGAGGCTCAAGTTTCATCAGTAAACTGTGCAGAGCTGCATCCACCTTCTCAGCCTGCAAAAGACAAAAAAAAAAAAACAAACAAACAAACACCATTAGATGGTTTACAAATGATTAAATCATTACTGATTGTTCAACAGAAACTTTCTAACCTATTCTTCACTAACTTGGTGGTAATAATAGCTGAGTCAGCGGTGTTACATTTAACCACAAAGCTGAAGCTCACCTCGTCCTGCAGCGAGGAAAACTCCTCAAGAATGTGTCCCAGTTTATCTCTCTGTCGAGCTCGGTTGTGTCCGTGGATCTGGATGAGATTGCAGAATGGCTGCGGGCACAGCAACATTAAAAAAAACAGAGATGAAAGTATTATGATAATATGATCACATCTCACCTTATACAGCTTTTCTATGAGCAAAGCAAATGCACATTTCTCTCCTGAAGAAACTCGCTTCAAAATAACATACGGGAATAAACTCTGAAGTTACAGCAGATGAAACAATAGGTCCAAAATCTGTACATGTTAAAGAGCAAAGGTAACATACCCTGGAGCAGTGAGTAACAAAGGAGTCAATGTAGTCCTTGGCCTGGTGGTTGTTGAACAAACAACATCTGGAAGCACAAACACACAAGATGTTCAAGACTAACAGTTAAGGCTTAGTCATTAAAAGCTAAATGAAAAAGCTACATTTAAGATGCTTCAAGCCAAATAGTAAAAGTACAAAATGAGGCACAAGGTCAGCTGAGTCCAATGATCGAACTGCTGATGGTTTCATACTTCTAAGCAGAGCAACAAAACAATGATCTCAAACAGGTGCCAGTCAAAATCAGAAAAAAATCAAATCAAATCAAATCAAATAAAAATCAATTGCTGATTGCAAGATCTTTGATTATTAATCAATAAATTAACTGTAAACTTACTTGTAGGAGAGGACWGGTGGACTAACAAAGTATCTTAATGCATCTTTAATCATGTCCTGCATCAGGTGGGTGCCAAACACTTTTTTATTATCTATCAGGAACGTTGTCTGAATTTTACAGAAAAATGCACTCAGTTAGATAAATATTAACTGTGTGGATAAGATCTGTAATTCTACACATGTATGAAATGCCACAAACCTGGAGAAGCGATCTGGAGAGCACACAGGGTGACTGCTCGCTGAATTCACAGAAGAAATCCTGACAAAACAGCAAAATGTAGGTGTGAATCAGAGCCTTTGTAATAAAAAAATATGCTGAATATAATTATTTTACACACAATATGGAGTATTGTTGAAATTAAAAGCCATTATTATGTATGTAAGAAAAAAATTTCTACCTGTAATTTAAACAAAAACACAAACTCGTACAGAAAAAAAAAATCTATGTTGACTTTTTGAATATAGCATGAAGCTTCTTTTGGGATACCGARTTTAAGTTATGAAAGGTTTACCAGTATGCCATGCAGGTTTGTGGTGTTGATGACGTCACACACTGTTTTGATGCGTTCTATGAGCTTGCTGAAGTAAGCCACCATGTCTTCTCGCTTAATTATCTTGGCATAGCGAGGAAACGTGGGTGGCAGAAGTCTCTGGTTAACAAGAGGCTCAAAGCCCATCATGATGGGGTGGTCTGCAAGTTTCACAAAAAAACAAACAAACAATACAACGTTAACCAAAAACGTTGCTCATATTTAAATTAAAACTAGTGAAATAAAACAAAGTAAAAATAAAAAAAACAATCTTGAAAAAAACACGATGAATACAGCACTAAAAACCCAATAATGTATATCCAGTTTCAGACGTGTGTTATACTTAGTTTGGATGTTTTATTTTTTTTTAACTACTCTATAAACAAAATCTGCAGCTGTAGTCCTAAAACTGGTAGCTTGTAATCTAATCTCCAAAATATGAGCTTGAGCTTATGGTTTACAAGTGTGTGTGTGTGTGTGTGTGTGTGTGTGTGTGTGTGTGTGTTCTACCTCCTTTAGTGGTGTCGTTTTGTGACTGGATACCGTACTGGATACTGGAATGAATGGGCGACAACAGATCTGCTGCCTGAACCACAAGCTTCTGGGCCTCACTTACTGCACTGGTCTGAAAACAAAACAAAACAAAACGAAACAAAACAAAAAAAACCTTTAGGCTCTTAATTTAAGATAAAATAGTTAAACACATAAAATAATATGGTGATGCTAAAGAGCTGGAGATACAACAGATGATCAGATTAAAGATGATGAATCTCTTAGATCCTGTGTTCAGGTTCTTCTATTTCTTTAAAACATATAATGGGCTTTTTTGAGATTTGACACTTTTTTTATTTTGTCCTCTACTTGTGCAACTACTTGATTTTTCTAACATAAATGCAGAATATGTAAGGTACAAGGACTGAAAGGTCAGAGAAAGACTTTGGAAGACCTTCAGAAAGTCTGGATAACTGCTGACCATGACTTCTTTAATTGAAAGGATTACAAAAGGTTTGGCTCCTTGGGGGTAAAAAAAAACTATTTAAAGTGGTTTAAAACATTACACAGCACTGTGTAGAGAGTTACATATAACAGTCAATATAAATTCTAAACAACATAGCAGATATAAATATAGTAGCCCCATGCAGCTATGGAATAGGTGGTTATAAATGCTGAAATGTTTGCACACAGAGCTCTGATTAGCTGCTATTTATGTGACCATTGTCTAATCGTGCTTATGTTACCTCTTTCTTTGTGAAGGCGATCAGAGCAGTCAGTAGGAGGCGTGTAAACTTGATTCTGTTGAAAAGTGCCAGGCACTGCTGGTGCTGGACAGTTAAAACATAAAACAACACTATTAAGATACACATGCTTAGTCGTCCGAGCTTTACAAGACAAAAGAAACTATATATAAAATATATTAATAATAAATTCTTGCTTGTAAACAAAGGTGTTTTGGATTTTTTTCTTCTTTCGGAGTCTGATTTCAGCATTCATTAAAGTTATCTGAAAACTATGTGCACTAAAGATGCAACACACACTGACACGTTTTCAAACTTACTTCCTGCTCAACCTGTGGGTTTCGCTGCTCCCCCTGTCGGCTACGCGTGCTCTGAGGGAGAACGAAATAAACAAAACCCTGATGTTCATCAAAACATCGCTTTTATCAACAGTGTTTTACAGACACTGTAATTATTGAGAACACATACTTTAACTTTTCTCTGTAACTCGTCCTCCACATCTTTCAGCATACCTGATAAGATGAAAACAAAACCACAGTAAAGGGGAAAAGATGAGAATGGACATTGTTGTTCATATGCAACGTCTGTTTTAATTAGCAGAAGCTTGTGAATAATGTAATGACACTGACCTGTCACCCGCAAGTCTGTGACATTATTGGCCATTTTGAAACCATAAGTCATGGCTTGGAAATCCTCCTGCAGGAAAAGAAAAGGTTAAATTATCACTGAAACATTTTAACATAACATTAAGAGATCAACAGCTTTTCAAATTTGTACCTCTTTTAAAAATAGGTAGCTCTGACACAATTGTATATCAAAGAGGGATTATTTTTCTAAGAAATTACACCCTGAACATATTCACAGTGACACACATTCACACCTGGAAGCTGCCAAGTAGAGCGCGGCCAAACCTGTTTATCAACAAGCCCTTGAGCTCAGTGSTCCACAGTGATAAGAGCCAAAACACAGCTTCAAGTTTACTCCGACTAGATTTTTATTCTACCTATCCAAGGTTTTTCCTAGCAGCTTTCTGCTGACTTCTCCAACTTTTAATATCACATTTAACAGCACCACGTGTGTAGAAAACCTGCTCACCTCTTCAAACACAGCCGCCTTGTTGACTTTTTCTCGAGCGATATCGCACACCTTCAGTAAGCCCAGGGCAAAGGCTTTGAGAGACGGCTCCTCGATCTGGTCAGGGTTATGGACATACAGGCAGGTGAACACGGTCTGAGCCAAAGAGTGACCCTCAAGCCACGTTATCTAAATACACAAAAATAACAGCATAATAAGTATTTGTTTGATTGTAATACTCACACCGTTTGTATCCGATACGTCTCAGTGACGCTTTAAAAAATTCCTGAACAGAGGCAGTTACATAAACCATATTTATAGAGCACTGAGAAGGTYAGCAGCTTAGAAAAGGCAATTTGATTAAATAACAAAATAAACCAAACTCACCAAACAGCAGAAACATGTGTCAATGATCCCGATGAGCTCAGGAAGACTAAGGTCCTTCACCTTTATAGCATCTTCCTGCAGTTAATATAAGAGAATAATAAAAATTTATGTAGAAGTGCTTGGTTGATTGTGTATCTTTACATTAAACACATATAAATAAGGGAATATGCTAACATATATATCAAGATCAAGAAAATCTGTCTTTGTGATTTACATCCAGTACCTTAATTGCTTGTTCAAAATTGAGCACTTTCCTGTTGACCTGGTTTCCAATCATCCCAGCATCCATCTTTGGATCCATCATCTCAATAGCTGACATGGCCTCAAACAGGCCAAAACTATACCACAACAAAAAGTTTACTCTGATCAGTTCTCACATATAAGCAATGATAATATTTAGGGCAAATTACAATAAAATTTACTGTAAAAAAATATAAGCATTTCAGTGCTTTAAATCTAAAATTTTAAATTATCTACAGTATAGCTCATTGTTTACAAACGGTTACACTCATGTATCATTATAAAGCCTTTTGTCATAACTCACAGTTTATCATGAAGCAATTCTCCAAGGTTCAACTCTGTGAAGAGCAAGAACGAGAAAATACAGAAGATGTCGGTCCTTTTTATATTAATCACGACACAGCACATTTTCTTTCTCCTCTTTTCAGTTATTACCTTTGCAGGCTCCTTTAAACTCATGAGTAATATCAACCCAGTTGGCATTGTTCTTCATCTTCTCTGGGATGCCCAGCACCCAGCCAGTATCATCATCATCAACTGCTGATTTCATCACCATGGTGACTATAAAAGACAAGCCAAAGAGAATCAGAGCAAAACATTTAAATACTATAACACATTAGAGGTGAAGGAGAGGACAAGGTTATCTGCCTGAATTTAGTTCTCTAAGGACTGATCAGTGTAAAAATGACTGGTAATATATTTGAATCATAATTACACAGTCCAGAGCTATTACAATTTATACAATTTAATAAACCTCTTATTAGTTAAACTTACTCAAATTTTTATTTTARAGTTGACGAACAAACACATTTTTGTAATAGTTCACAATTAGGTGAAAAGAACTGGACAAGTTTATTAGTAGAATCAAAGGCAAGAAGGCAAAGTTCTGAGGTTAAAATGGCATAAACACTTTTCAAAATCAAACACTATTTGAACACATTTAGCTAAATTGTGTTTTTGAGTTAATTTTGAAAGGTTTCCCCTCATTTTTCAAGTTTAAGCAAGCTAGAAAATCTCAGAGCTCAGATCCATTGACTCATCCCTTCATTGACTTGTTAGGACTTGTGTTTTTTTCACAACCAGTGATTGCAAAGATCTAAAAGACAAAAAATAAATAAATAAAAAAGGCAGAATACTATAAATGCTAGTACACTACCCATTATAAATGCAATTTAAGTAGAATTGCTAAAAGTCTAAACCAAACCTCCTTTTGTGGATTTGTTTACAAATTAAAGATGAGGACTTAAAAAAAAAAACTCTAGAGAGAAGGTGAACTGTTCTAATCTACACAAACAATGACACGTGCAAAAACAACAGCAAAGCTGTCAAACAAAATGTTTCGAACATCCTGTCCTAAAATCTGTGTTAAAAGTTCACAAATTTAAGCATTAAGAGAAGACTGGTGCATTTGGGGAACAGATCCTGTGGATTGTTGAAAAAAGAAGAAGAAGTTTGGATTCTTCAAAAAGAAAAAATAAGTAGGTCCTCTGGATGGGTTCTTCTTTAGTGAAACGTTTCATCTCTCCTACAAGAGACTTCTTCAGTCTGATGAGTTTCAGGTGAACTCAGTCTTATAAACACTGCCTCCACATGGACTAACAGGTTAGTCACATGCAAAAGAGGGTCATTGCCTAACAATAGGCTTGATTAGATCTATTTAGTCACATGCAAAAGAGGGCCATTGCCTAACAATTGGCTTGATTAGACCTATTGTTCATAGAGGGTCATGTGCCCCATCACCTGACCTGTGTAGTGTTATGTGTATGTAGTGAGTGCATGCGGGGCTCAAACGTCCTCTTGTTTTTGTCTTTGGCCTCCATCTCTGTTTAATAGTGGACGGTTTTTTTCTTCACAAAGATGGCTTCCTTTATTCCTCTCTCAAASCTCTCTTTCACTAAAGAAGAACCCATCCAGAGGACCTACTTATTTTTTTCTTTTTGATTGTTTTCAACCTGGATTACTGAGATGTACCAGGACAAGTTTGGATTATGTTGAAGTAGAGATAGAATTGTGTTTATGAAAAAAAAAAAAAAAAAAAAAAAAAAACTAAATCATCTCTTCTGTACAAAGTTGTATCTTATGCTTTTTCTCAAAGGTAAGAACAAATACTGTATTTCACATAACGGAATATTTTTAAATAATTGATTTAACAAACTGTGATAGTAATGTATAACAAGATCAGTGAACAGTGTTTTGCCTGACCAAGCAAATAGACCAAAACAACCACGTTAACAGCAAACTAACTACAGATGCCCTTACAAACTTACCTTCAAAACGTAAAATAAAGGCTTGTATGTCAAACGCGGTTATAAAAAGATAATAAACGTGATGTTAGTGTGTTCTAACCAGCATCTCATTAGCTAAGGCGCCCTGTGTGTGAAAAACAAGCTAACGTTGCCGCAATACGCGTTTCCAGCAAACAAAAGCCAAATTATGTGTATTTTTATGGTTACTAACTTTATATATGATGTAAAATAAGCTAACACTGTCTTTTATGAATCAATGAATCGCTACAAATCAACACATACCCAGGTATAAAGCATTAATTCCTTCGAAGACTGTACAGACTGGCGCTTAAATTATACGTCATACTCACTGGTCACCAGCGTCAACCTGGGATTTGTAGTCCAAACAAACAAAACTATATTCCAGCCATAGAAAATGCGCCCAATTCATGAAATCGAACCGTGGAGATTTTAGACAATTCATAAAACATGAAATGTAAATGACCTTTTTTTTTAAGTTTCTTTTTACACCAAAACAGAAAAAGACATCGCTACTCTCGCGTTATTTACTGGAGCGTCTCCGGTCTCAGCACATCAGAATCAGGGCGTAGCAAGCCAAAAAACCCGTAGCTGGCTCCATATAACAGTTCGTCCAGTCTTATCGGGACAACAATTCTATTTAAACAGGTTTGTAAATGTCTCTTTTTTTGTTGCTTTCAGTTTTCGAGTATATGTCTTTGGCTAAAGTAGTTGTGTTGTCAGTATTGAGCTTTACCGTTAGCATATTTCATCTTTTTTTGCTGGCCTGTTTGCGCAGCGGCGATAATGAGTGACCAGCCCAGCAGGTGCAGCGACCACGGGCTTCAGGTCAGCTATCAGGCGCAACATCCTGAATTTATACATTTAAGAATAAAACTTGTCCAGGAGATGTTTCTTCGGTTATCTCAAACGATTAGCAGTAGCAACCATTCTTTCTCAGCCGGCTCTGGAACTAACTTATCAGCTCCAGCATCACTGTTTTAAATTATTATTCTGACCCTAGACATGCATTAATGTTTGTGTATCATTTTTAAAAATCATTTTAAATGTCGATTGATTCTGACCTGTTGATATGACAACTGTTACCCTCTCGTGAAGCAGTGACCTCATTATCAGGTGGTCCTGCAGCTGCAGGAGAGGATGTGGAGGCCTGATGATAATAAAACTGTAAAAGTTTAKGAGTTAAAGAATTATTTCAGCTCACCGTAGATTTCTACAGTGTTGAATGTATTTTAAAGGTTGGGCAAATATATATATANTATATATATAATAAAACTCACCACATGATTTTATGTAAGCAAGTGTGGGAAATGTTTTCTCAGGAAACAAGAGAAAGTTGTGGCACAATCAAATAAATGTGATCTAAGTATACTTGGGGGGAAAAATGCTCCAATAAACATCTTGCACATGTCTGACCGTGTCTACAGCTTGTTTGCTTCTAAGACTATGCTTTGTTTTGTGTAATATCAGTCTGGAGGCCTTGTTTGTCTGATAGTAGCTCTGTTTTTGAAACATTCAGTAAGAGCTATCTGTCTGCAGCTTCAGTTTAAAGATACACCCACCACTCATATGCATTCTAACAATATTCAAAGGTACTAAAACTGACTATAATTATTCCAGAATATCAGTATTTTTCTAAGATATTGGTGAAAAATGCATACGGGTCATATTTGTGCTCTTGACCGCACGGCAGACTGATCTAAAAATGCTTACTTTTGTGTYGGCTGCAAGTGTCACTTTATTTTGTTAAACATATAAAAATAGTATAATGTAAAGATTTATGAATATATTTTGATTAACCTGCTGGGAAAATATCACAAGTTTCAGCACCTTGTGTCACACAGGTCACCTGTTTGGTACAAGTCCGGGACATGTTTATAGCCCAGTACATTCAAAGCTAGGGACAGTTGAGCTTTATTGTCAGCTGGGTTTTGGCTTAGTTTCTTAGCTGGCTAAAGTGGGAGTCCAGTGGGAACTCATTTGACATTTGGGGGGGAAAGGGTAATCATTCTTTAAATAACATGACATAGTTTTGTCTTTTTTTATTCACCGTGGATTTTCCCCCCTCCTGCTCTCTGTTTCTGTCTCTCTCTGTCTCTCTCTTGCAGACGAAATGACTTTTTGATGTGGTAAAAAATGAACAAACCCAAAATGGCTACAGAGAAGGGGTGAGTTGATGTGTACACACACAGAGGCAGTGATGTGTGGGAATTTGTCTCATGGATGTGTCTCTATGTTTGGATTTAGAAAGTAATTCTGCTCTCGCAGTACTTCAGCTTTGACTCCTTTTGCACCAGTGTTTGATCTTGTTATTTACCTTTTAGTCACTGTGTGAGTGTATGAGAGAAAGAAAAAGTTTCTATCAAAGAGCCCAGAGTGACAATAATTGCATGACCTTCGTAGAAACAGCCAAATGAAATTTTCATGACTTTGTTCATATATGTAACTCCCTCGTCCGTTCTGATTATTTTCCCTTCGTTTTTTTTTTTCAAGTTTTCTATCTTGAGCGTTCACTTTCTCTGTCCATCTGTCTCTTACTCTCCCTTTATAAGGACATAAGAATTTTTGCTCCACTGGGTATAATCAGAGTTGTGATTCCTCTCCATTGTTTGCCCTTGCTGCAACAACTGACCCTTAATCTCTTGCTTCTAGATGAGTGCCAGGGAAGTTAATATCATTAGAAAAAAAGAGAGAGGTCACTACCCCAGAAATAGTTAAGCACGAGAGGACAGCTTTTAAGTAAGCTTTACTAAAAACACACACAAAATCATCTTTTAAAAATAAATTTAAACTGCATTTAGATTACCAACTTTTAACTGCTATTTAAAAACAAATTTAATTTTTATATTTTTGTTTTGAAGTATGGCGTACATGACTCCAAGTTTAGGAAGGATTTTAAAGCAAGATGATACTGAATGAAATTTTGTAACTGATTAATTGGATGTTAGATGCTGTTTGTATTTTATACTTTCTGATCATTTCAGTCTTGAAGTTAAAGCAGACAAAGAGTTGGTGTGTATGTGTTCTTTCTTTAGCCTAAACAAAAATGAGTTATGTTCTGACGTCTGACGTAAAAGGTAACATCTCCAGGGGTGTAACTAACCAGGAAGAGATGAATATTATAAGCTCAATTCATTATTTTAGTAAAAAGAAGTTGTCAGTGTTGCAGAGTCTTTGCTTTAGAGCAGGGCTCCTGTGTTTTTTGTTTTATTTTCAGCCCAAGGTCTTATGCTGAGGCCTGCTGAGTGCTGTACTGTGAACCTGATTGGAGTCAGAAGATTGAAAATAAAGTTTTTAAGAAGACATACCATTTTGAACAACGCACATTGTTCCTACAATTTGGTTATGTGTTGTTTACTTACTGATTCTAAAAGCACAACACCATTTTATACTAGTTTCTATAAAATGGTGTTGTGCTTTTAGAATCAGTAAGTAAACGACCCATAAACTTCTTCARTACTGTTTTTTTTCTTTTTCAGTATATTTAAGGACATGCCACATCACAGTATTACTGTACATGTGAAAATAAACCCATCCTTCCCTGAACATAGTAGTACACCCACATTACAGAAAGAAGCAGTATTCTGCAGACCTGCAGTATGGTAGAAATACATGTTTTTCTTACCTGGTGGGAACAATTTTTGACATTTTTTCCAGTACACACAACCTGGTGAGGACCCACAGTTCCTTATGGGGACAAAAGCTCGGTCCTCATCTGGGGAAATACATTTGATCAGTCAAGGTGTGAACTGAGTTTATGTTAGGTTTAGAGTTAGGTACTGGGGTGGTTAGGTTTAGGGTAAGTAGTCATGATTAGGCTAAAGCAATGGCAGATAAATGAATGGAAGTCAATGCAAAGTCCCCATGAGGATAGAAGAACAAACGTGTGTGTGTTTCCAGTGTCCCCAGTAACTCCAGGGTACTGATGCTTCTGGGCCAGCTGGAGAGGATGAACGGCGAGTCCATGCTGAGGGATGTGGAAATGGCAAGACAGGTCACAACAAAAATCCTTCATCTCATACAGACACAAGGTGAGAGTACATTTATACACACACTGATGTATATACTGTATGTATGCATGCACACACATATTGAAATGACATCAAACAACACAAACAACTAAATCCTTCCAAATCAAACATATCTGTTCTCTAAATTAGTTTACAAAACTATCACTAGCCAATAATGTGATGTAAAACCTAAAATTTCATATTCTCATTGTACTTTCCCTTTTATAACTTTAGATGTGTGAAACATTGGTGTAGCTGATTAATTCATTGGGGCTTGTTTAGTTTCTTTGCTGTGGAAATGGAAGACGGGTGGATGCAGGAGTGGCTAAAGGTGTAGACTGACGGGTCCAGGGTCTCTGATTACTGTTTGAGGAGTGTTGATCTCACAGCGGAAGAAGACGGCATTGTGCCACATCACAGTGTTAAACACAGTGAAACATGAGTGCATCCCTGTTAGCATAGAGCCTCTACTGTAAGCTCGGATTAGTTTAAATATCAGTTTCACATTGTTGTAACGCTATGATGTGTAGTCAACAAATGCATTTGTTGAACTGGTGAAGTAACTGTCAGTTATGCTTCTTGTACTGGTCATTTATCACGCTGATATGCCGAGCATTCTCAGTTTACTACTTTTGAAATGATAGGTATTCTCGCTATTTCAAACTTGACATTGATATAAATAGCAAATTTGTGTGTCTTAGATACACAAAACAAGTACCCTGAAGGCTTAAACATGTGTTCGTTGAGGTTATTTTGTTCAAGGGGTTAAGAAAAACAATAAAATAATAAAATTTTCTTAAACATGAAAGTCGGCATCTACGGACAATATTTATTGAAGATCCAGTTATGTTAGAAGAATTCCACAGATAGTAATTCATTTTTTTCACCTGTCATTTTCATCCTGGATTTTTGTAAATTCGAACTAAATTGAACTAGTGAAGCTCTGCGTGTGATGGTGTAAATTGAAGAGTTTTGCTGAAGGATTCTTTTACACCTTCTGTTCTACTTTGAATTTCCTCTGACCTTCTTCCTATCCCACCTTTCTTGAATTTCCTCTTCTCCTAATTTGAGGCTTTTTTTYCCCGCCCCTCTTCAAAGTGAAGCTGTTAATCCATTCTGACTGATGGGCACGGTGGAAAAGTGTCTGTCTGTAACTCTATCAATCATGATATCCAGCTGTTCCTCTCTCATCTACTGCTTAGTCGTCTGTCAGAACCTCGCCTGCAACCTCAACTTGAAATGTGTACCAGTGTGGCGTTGGTCAGAGGGAAGCAGTGGAGGGAGGAGGGGCCGTCTTTGACCCTGTTCACAGTAACCATACACTCCAGGAGGGACTTTGCTGGACTCTGTCTTAAGTTTAGAGCCTTGGGGGCTTATGAGGCAGTAAAGAGATACCTTAAAAAGAACAAGGGGAAGCCAGCACTTATACACGGAAGAGGCATGAACTTCTGTTGGGTGAAAATATATTCAAAACAAAAAATATGGCTTTGTTGAAGTGTGGTAACAGATTTATAGCTAAACTATAAAATAGTGTATTTTTCTTTTTTAGAGTATGCTTGAATATTAGACCCTTTACATTAAGAGATGCTCTAAACAGTTGTGAGTCTTCTGTTGAAGCCGACTGTGGTTGGGCGAGTCAAAAGGGAGGGGCTTATCACTAAGTGCGGTGTGTGTACACACTGTACAAAAGTAGGTGGATTGTGTTGACCAGCTGAACAGATCACTTCAAGCTATAGGGGGATAGAGACATGCCAGCAGAGCTTTAAAGTGTTTTACCTTCTGACATTATACCCTGAAACATTTTGGTTTACTGAGGAATTCAGAYTGCTCTGATAAACCCTCAACTTCATTTACAGAATAGAACCTGTAGTCATTCTGAGGTTTTTGAACTTTGAGAGCTTWATTTTGAAATGGAGTATCGCTACACCAGGAGGTACTATCCATCCTTGGACTCCTCAGACTCAGCAGGTAAGGACCAGAATAGTAAAATATCCAAGGAAACTTTTTAACAAGCTGTGAAGCGATATATCGACTTTCAGTTTTTAAACACGATCTAAAGCATAGAGTTTCACAATATTATCTATGATTGTGTTTCAGTGTGTGCTTGAGTTTCAAACAGCTGAGATGTTAGAGTTTGGAGTTATGATAAAGTGAGAAGATGGACTGCAGCGAACACTTGACCTCTGCAGCTTCATTAATTCCTCTGGGATGCATGAAATTCTCTTTAGATAGGAACAAATGCAGTTTTTGTGGKAAGTTTAAATGCAGCAGGTCATTGTGCAGAGATTTATTGTTTAGTTTTACGAGCATGCATTTCTACTGAGGGAGGGATGCCTTTGCAGGTGCTGGAAAAACTCATCATAGTCTCTGCTCTCCGACACGCTAAAATGTGTGCATAGTTTTTTTGTTTATGTTTGTGTTAGGGTGTTGCTTGGTTAATGAACAGTAATCACTTAGTTTATTTCGAAACTCTGGCATAATTCTTGTGACCGAGTTGTGCACTCAACACATTTCATCCCCACATGCTATTGACTCATTACATGTTGTGCCAAACCCTCAATCTTACCAGACATCCAGACTAAGATCAGCATAGAGTAATATAATCCTCCACTTGGACAGTTTGGTTTTTTGTTATGTAACGTCTACATTTCTGACACAAATTGCTGACTTACAAGAAATCTAACAGCATCAAGTTGTTAAAGTAAATATATTCAAAAATACTTTATTTATCCCAGAGGGAAATTAGGTAATATCATTATATATATATATATAT